TTTTTTTGTTTTTAATTTTTTTATAATTTTTAATGTTTTATTATTATTATTTTAATTGACACATTTCTTTTGTTCAGTGTGGTATTTTGAAACATTTGTGTAATGAATGCCGTTTTCATTTCTTTGTACCTGGTATATGGAAATATAACTGTTTTTATCATCTCATGACTTTATATCCAGCAACTTTGCTAAATTTACTAATAATTGCCAATGATTTCTCTGTATATTCATTTGGAATTTCTATTTACATTATCCTACTGTCTGAGGTATTATATATTCTATTTCATACTTTTCCAATTCATATGACATTAATTTCTTATTTCAGTTTTGCACTATCTAGGATTTCCAGGATAGCTTTGAACGGAACTGGTGATAGTGGGCGTCTTTGTTTTCTTTCTGGTCTGCAGGAAGGGTGGTCTTATATCTCACTATTGAGAATGATAATTTAAGTAGATTTTGGTAAATATTCTTTATCACTTTTCTTTTATATTTATGTGAATTTTGTCATAAATATGTGTACAACTTTATCAAATCAATTATCTGCATCTATTGGTGTGGTTGTATATATCGGGCTCAATTTCCTCAAGAAATATACATATTATAAGTAAACACACTCAGAAGGATTTGACTTCCTACATACTTGTTATTCAGGACTTCTGCATTTATATACATAAAAGAGTTGGTCTATGATTTTTTTTCTCTCAAAATTTCTTGTCAGAATTTTGATAGCAAGATAATGCTGTTCTCATAAAATTAGATGAGAAACGTTCCCTAATGAGGGCCTGTTTTTACTACCTTTACCTCCCCAAAGTCTTGTGCTACATCACACTTAGTTGTATCTTTGAACGCATAACAACTTTTGGTTAAATACAGATATTAAGTATGAAAAAATTCAGAGTTTCAGATATGTTTATCTTCTTCCAAAGAGAATTCATCCCTCTCCCATATGCCGTCATAATGATGTAACACTTCCTGCTCTGATTTAGCACTGCACATGATATGAACACAGTAGGAAAAAAGAAAAAAAAAAAAAAAGAAAATGGGCTGTAGGTATTAGCTTACTTTTCAGAGCTTCTGCCATCTCTGTAATCTTGAGACAAATTTTTGTCTTAGCAACTTTACTTTACTTTCGAATACATGATTTCTGTGTTTATCCAGATGTTCTAGTTGCTATGCTATAAGCTTCTCTATTCCACTTGAGGCCTAGATATATAATTCTTAAAATAAAAAATAACATAACTAAACATTGTATTTTAATCGGGGGAAAAAATGCAGTGAATCTGGTAAGGCTGCAAATACTAATGTCATTCTGTGGAGAAAATGGAATTGATAACTTTACCAAGAGGTAATGAGACTTGTCCTGATGATCACAGATTTGGTGCAAGGGTTAGGACTTCACCTTCCTCTGTTTTCACCAAAAGACAAAATCGGAAGTATTTTCTTCCATAGTATTGGGGTCTGAGGGTGTTGCTACTCCTCCTATTACTAACTAAATGGGAATCAGGCTGAGGAATCAGGCAAAGATTGCCAGTCTCCCCTATCCACTTCATCAGCTGTGGGGAATGTTACACCTGCTGAGCTCACCCATTAACACTCTGCGTGGAGGCTCGAACAGGGTCTGGTGTCTTTTGAGCCTAGAATCCTAAAACCCCAAGTGAATGACCTGTACTTCATCAGCTGTGGGGAATGTTACACCTGCTGAGCTCACCCATTAACACTCTGCGTGGAGGTTCGAACAGGGTCTGGTGTCTTTTGAGCCTAGAATCCTAAAACCCCAAGTGAATGACCTGTACATTCTGCATTGGACATCCCAGTATAGAAATATGCAACTTTACATGGCTTATTCTACCCTCTTAGGAATTAGGTAAATGATTTCCTCTACCAATGGCTGGAGCCACTGATCTAGGTCAAAACAATGGTGTAAGATAGGAGTTAGCAAACTTTTTCAGTTATGGGCCAGGTCATAAATATTTTCAATTTTGCAGGCCATGGGGTTTCGGTTGCACTAGTGAACTCTGCCATTGTAGCATGGAAGTAGTCATAGGCAGTGTGTAAACAAATGAGGATGGCTATGTTTCAATTTTTATGGAAACAAATTTAAAATTTATATAATTTTACTGTATCAAAAATATTCTTCTTTTTCAAGTTTTCAACTTGAACATTCTTAGGTTATAGACTATATAGAGAAAGATAGCAGGCTATATTTGCCCATGTTGTTTGTGGATGCCTGGTATAAGGAAATCCTGTTCAGTAGAACTTTCTGAAATGATGTGAGGTTGATTTTCACATTATGTCTTATCTAATGAAAATTGTGAGTTTTCTCAAAAATTGTAAAATTGTTACTAGGAGTTTTAAACACCTAGTTGACATCTTCCTGATATATAATCATGATTACTTGATTTTAAAAATGAAAGGCTTAACTTTTAAAACGAAGTTCTAGGCCTTTAATATGAGAAAAGTAGAAAATGAAAATTTCCCCCACATTTGTATTTTTCAAATATTTAAATCTGAATAAAATTAAAACATATGTATATACACATATGGGTGTATATAAAAATGTGTGTATATATTTACTTATATATCTGTCCATCTATCTACCTCAATACTTTAATATGTATGTTCCCAGAACAAGGACTTTTCTCCTACATAATAATAATCGCAAGAAAACTCAGGAAGTATCATTCATACAATAGTATTATCTAATACATAGCCTGTAATTGTTTCCTAGAGTATTATTTATAGCTTTAAAAAAGTTAGTATCCAGTCAAGGAATAAAAATATAATTTGGTTATCTTGTTCTTTTTCTCCTCTCAAATCAAGAACAGTTACCTTTCCTTTGTTTGCTTGTTTCATATCTGTAAGTCTACCTTTTGAAGAGTCCAGGCCACTTGTAATTTAAATGTTTCTCAAGATGTGTAACACTGCTGCTGATGGGGGAGGCACCCAGGAAGGTAGGAGAACAGGCCAGCCACCCACCTTCAAGCCTGCCCCACCCATGCAAATGCAAGATCTTGCATCACACAACCACCACAATGCTTCACACAACTTCCACAGATGTCGTCCACAACAGCCACGATCACAGCTACTATAGTTGCAAGGATGGCTCATTGCTTTAGTAACATCCATGACAACCATACATGTGGCTCACAACATATTTGACTTCATTGACACAAGGAAAGTCACTGTGGAAGCCTAGGAAAATATAAAGAAGGCTTTCTCTTCAAAGTCAACACTCAAGTAATAGAAGGAGCACCTGGTCTGTCAGCTGACCAGAAATCAGTGTAGAGATACTAGAAATATGAAAAATTCAGAAACTATGACACAATCAAAGGAATTCAGTCACTCTCATGTACCAGACCCTACATAACAGGGAACTCTTGAAATTACTGAAAAGGAATTCTGAGGAACTATCTTAAGAAAATTCAATGAGATAAGAAAGAACTCTGTTAGAGAACAGAATGAAATGAGAAAAAACAACAAGGATATGAGGGATGAAATTTACAAAGAGATTAATACCTTAAAATAGAATGTAGCAGAACTTCTGGAACTGAAAGACATATTCAATGAAATAAAAAATGCAACCAAGAACTTCAGCAGCACATTAGAACAAGCAGATTAAATAATTCCCAAACTCAAAGGTGGTTTTATGAAATAAAGGCAGACAAACAAAAAAAAAAAAAAAAGGAAAACAATTTTTAAAAATGAAGAACCTCTAAGAGAGCTAGCATACAACCTTAAGTGCACAAACACCTGAATCATGGGTCCTCCTAAAGGAGAGGAGAAAGGAAAAGGCATTGAAAATCTACTCAATGAAATAATAATGGAAACCTTGCCAGGTATAGGGATAGACTAGACATTCAGATCCAGGAAGCTCAAAGATCCCAAAACAGTTTCAATCCAACAAGATCCTCTTAGAGACATGTCATAGTCAAATTGGAAAAGCTCAAAGACAAACAAAGATTCCTGAAAGCAGCTAGAGAAAAGCATCAAGTCACTAATATGAGAGCCCCCAGCAGACAAACAGCAGGCTTCTCAACTGAAACTCTATAGGTGAGAAGGAAATGGGATGAAATATTCAAAATACCAAAAGAAAAAAACTGAAAGGCAATAATACTATACCTAGCAAGGCTGTCCTTCAAAATGGGAGAGAGAGGTGGTGTATTTCCCAGACAAACAAAACCTGTGAGAGTTCATCACCACATGACCAGTCCTGCTAGAAATTCTCAAGGGAGTCCTGCATCTGAAATCCAAAAACAATAATCACCACCACAAATACACATGTAAGAAGAAAACCCACTAACAAAAAAGAAATGCAAATGAGAAAGATGAAGGAAACTAAATCTTACCAACTCAAAAAATCCCCACAAACATTGAACCAATAATCAAAGTAGAAAAGAACTAATTGTAAAACATCTAAACAAAAAGCCATAAAATGCCAGGAAAAGACAGTACGTGTAAATAACAACCCCAAATGAAAATGGTTTAAACTCTCCACTCAAAAGACAGAGACTGATGGATTGGATAAAAAAAGCAAGATCCAACTATATGCTGTCTTCAAGAGATTCAACAGTAAAGTTGCACACAGACTAATAGTAAAGGGATGGAAAAAGATATATCAAACATGTGGAAACCAAAAATAAGCAGGAGTAGCTATTCTTATATCAGATAAAATAGACTTCAAACCCCAAATCATAAAAAGACAAAGAAGGCCACTATATAATGGTAAAAAGATCTATCCTGCAAGAAGACATAACTATATATATATATATTCACCCAACACTGGCACCCAGATATTTAAAGAATACACTATTAGGCCTATAGAGAGAGTTATACCTCAATGCAATAATAGTGGGGTACCTGAACACCCCTCTCTCATCATGGATATATTACCCAGGCAACAAGTCAACAGAGAAACACAGGATTTAAACAACACTTTGTACCTTTTGGACCTGGCCAATATCTATTCAACATTTCATTCAACACCTACACAATACACATTTTTCTCATGCACACACAAAATCTTCTCCTGGATAGACCACACGTTAGGTCACAAATTAAATCTCAATAACTTTTAAGAAGTTGAAATCTTTTCAGCTATCTTTTCAAACCACAATGTCTTCTTGCTGGATAGACTGCATTGAGATATCATCTTGCCCAGTTAGACTGGCTATAAGCAATGTGACAGAGAATAACAAATGCTGGTGAGGATATGGGGTGCTATCCAAGAGCTCCTCTTAGAAGGTGAATCTCATGTAGACATTCTTCACCTGCCATGAGAAAGGTTCCTGACTCCACAAGTCTACCCACTCAACTGTTCAAGCTTTAATTGATGATCCTTTCTTGAACTGATGATTCTAACCTAAATTATCACAAATTGATGATTTTTCTAACATTGTTATCCTTTCTGTGTTTCTAAGTTAGGATTAGTCAGTAATGACGACTATTTTTAACTTATTTTTAATTTTTATTTTTTTTTAATTTTAAATTTTTATTGAATCAAAATTGATTATACATATTTTGGGGGTTCAACATTGAGATATGTTGATCAAATCAATATTACTAGCATATATGTTGTTACAAATCATAATTATTCTTTATGCCTCTTGTCCAATCTCTCCCCATTCCCCCATCTTCCCCCTCCCTCCTCTAATCACCCTAGATTTCTTCTCTCTTTCTGAAAGAAGAATGGTTACTTTGTTGATTTGGAGCCTACATGATCTGTGCAATGCTGAGAGGTGTGTTCAGGTCCCCCAATATTATCATAGAGCAGACGCTTCTTCTGTCACTCTGAAATGGGCTTTGTGGAGAGAGAAACCCTCTTTTCTTTATCTCTGCTGGTGACTCACCTTCTGTCAATACATCCCAGGGGCTGTCAGACCGTCTGCATGGTGGTTGCAGCATCCAGCTGCTTTTGTGGCAGCCGTGGTTATTGTGGTGGCTGTGGTGGGCCACCCACCTAGAGGCTATGTTTTTGACATGCTCCTTGGTGCTGGCATTGTGCCTGGTTGTGGGGAGTGTCTGGTCCTCAACTCCATGCCTCGGATACCTGGGCGGGCCCTGAGGTGCTGGTGCAGTGTGCCTGGTTGTGGGAGAGGGGTCCAGTCCCTTCTCCATGACGTGGGTCCACGGGTGGTCCCCGAGGTGCTGGCTCATGAAGACTACTTTTAAATTAAGACAAACAAACTGAATGACAATGATAAACACTCAATAGTTTCAGTCTTGTTACTGTGCTTGTTATTATCATTCTAGATCAAGTCACTTGTAACTAGGTCAGATGTTTATTTACCGAATTTCTATAAACAGATATATTTCAAGTGCCAGCAGAGACTTCCACTTTAGACGGTGATCTACATACGAGATGCGAGAAAACTGAAGTGATGTAATAGAGTAGCAAGTAAGGATAGACAACAATGTCACAGCTTGATGATTATTATAACAGATTTAGAAGTTTTGACACCAAGTGCCCATGTACTCAGTACGTCAAATGCTATTGGAGGCCACATGAGCAAGATCACTGCCACTGGCCTTAAACTCATCCCTGTTTATGATGTGGTCTGTCTGTTTGGAAACATCACTGCTTTTCTTTGGACACCGGTTTTCTCATCTGTGGATCAAAAGAATGGACCAAGTGATTTCCATTGTTTTGTTCACATCCATGATTCTGCTTTATGACCAATTATAATTTTGTCTTTTCATTCCAGGGCACAACCATATTTCCATCACTGACCTCGGTCCTACACGAAGACAAAGAATTCCCCAACCCAGAGATGTTTGACCCTGGACACTTTCTGGATGAGAGTGGCAACTTTAAGAAAAGTGACTACTTCATGCCTTTCTCAGCAGGTAATAGAAATTCACTATCATTTGTACATCAAGAGACAAGATCACTTTCTGAGATCACTTGGATCTCACATGGTGCCTCTCTGGGCTGGTAGAATTGTTCTTTGTACTTGATCAGAAGCACCATTCCCAGTACCCACATTCTTTCCCTGCTCATGATACATCCTCATTCTTGGGCAATATTAGTTGGGCTTATGAGAATTGACCCAACCCTTTCAAACTGAGAAAGTTAGAGTATAGGCTGATTGAATTCTGACTGTAGAAGCATCACTGAGCTACCCAAGAGCTCCTCTTAGAAGGTGAAACTTGTGTAGACTTTCCTCACCTGCCATGAGAAAGGTTCCTGACTCCACATCTTGGAGTGTTGTCTGTGGGATGTTGCTCACCCTCCCTCAATCCCAGGCTGAGCTTTGGGGGTACAAGTATCCACAGGCATAGAATAGGTAAAAAAGGGCTTCACACAAATCAGGGAAGCATATGAGTAAGGAGATCATTTAATACAGTTTAACTAAAGCTATGAGAGAGGAAAGCACAGGCTGCTGGTGGGGTAGAGATAGGGTGGAAGGTACACGCTTTTTGCTCTTTCATACTCCACAGATAGGCATAAGATGGAGTAAGCAACATTCTAATAGCTGAAATGACTTTTGAGCTGCTTGAAACAGGACAGAGAGAATGGTAAATAGAAAAGGCAGGGCATTTTTTAAGGAGATAATGAATGACAGGAGCAGAATATTTGCTCCACATCAAAGATGTCAGAGCCTCTTCCAAATAACCATAGGGTCAGAGGAACATGGGGAATGTCACAGGATAGCCTGCAATGTTTCCAATGCACCCTGCTCTTCCTCCAGTCCTGATCATATATCTTGGATATTGGGTCTCCAAACCTGATATACGTATGCTGAGTCCCCGGTCATGTAATCTGATTCCTTTATTCTGTTACTGCTGATGTCTGCTTTATATCAAGTACTGTGTATCTTGGATATTGGGTCTCCAAACCTGATATACGTATGCTGAGTCCCTGGTCATGTAATCTGATTCCTTTATTCTGTTACTGCTGATGTCTGCTTTATATCAAGTACTGTGGATACCAATGCAACAAGGACAGGAACCTCCCTTGCTGTCAAGTGTTTACATTTTTGCACAATAGAGATATAAATAAAAAGAGAATAATGACTCCCAGTTATTTATGTTTCAACAGAAGCATGAATTCATGTTGAGATAACCCAGTGAGGCAATATTTTATATTGGTGGGGATGTTGAAGATTGTAAAGAGGAAATGAAATTTGATGCAAAAGCTGAATGTTGTATAAGAAAAGTCTGTCTTGACAAGAAGGACCAGCATGAGATAAAACGTGAAACTGCGTGGCATGTTAGAGATTGCTTAATAGTGTGCATGGCTGCAGCTGAGAATAGAGGGTGTGAAGAGTGGAAGGAAGGATCAGGGAACTTCAGACTGGGAACAGGATACACACTGTGGGTGTGTTTCTAGAAAAATATAGATGGAAATTAGAAATATCAAAAAATCAGTTATAATGTGGGAATACAAAATGAAGTGCTTGACATCAAGCTGATAATAAATATTTGTTGAGTGAAGGGTGCCTGTTGAAAACAGGTGTTAAGTGGATAGGAAGTGTGCATGTCCTTTGCCCATTTGTCTCTTCAGCCATTCTTCCAGCCATTCCACCTTCTATCTACCCATCCAGTCATCCACCCATCCATCTGACCAATCATTCATCAAATAGTTACTACATATTCCTTTTGTGCGTGCTACAAACACAGTATTGGTTACAATCACAGTTACACACAGAAAGTACCTACCCTCTGTGCTTATTTTCAAGCAAACGAATTTGTGTGGGAGAGAGCGTGGCCTGCGTGGAGCTTTTTATATTCCTGACCACCATTTTATAGAACTTTAACCTGAAATCTCTGGTTGACCCAAAGGACCTCGATATCACCCCAGCCATTAGTGGATCCTTTTCTTTGCCACCCTCGTACCGGATCTGCTTCATTCCTGTGTGAAGAAGGGCAGACTGTCTGCTGCTGCTGTGCTGTTTTCTGCAGCTCCCTCTCCTCTGAGGCATCGTCCACCTCCTTCGCAATCTCAAGGATGCCTTCTGACCTCTCTTTGCACATCTCCCGTTACCTCAAGATCTAGTGATCATCTGAACTCCAATGAGAAGATTTCCTGAGTTTCACTGCACAGATATGCCTGTTATTTCCTATACTTGCTAATACTTGTATTTCCAACCAAATAAGTTGTTACTTATCTACTGTGAAGTTATTAATATGGTATCACATAAAAGAACGAAGAATGTTTTATATGTCACACTTTAGAGCCATTTCTCTTCTCTGTGTTCTAAATGAGAAGTATTATTAATTGCTGGGTTAGTTCACAGCCTTTCCCTGTTTTGTGTATAATGTTGGTAAGAAAGGAAAGAAAACAGAGTCTCAAGAAGCCATGCTTGTCCTCATAATGATAAGCACAGAGAGAGACAAAGGGGACGAAGGTAGAGAAGCTCTCTTGGCTGAATATCACTTAGAGGCACTCGAAGTTTGGATTTAAAAGAGAGAAACTATGTCCAGGAGCAGGTATAACCTGTAGGAAAACATTGAGAGAATTAGCCATAGGGAGAAATGAACATTAAGTGTTTGAATTCATGGCCCTGCTTTAGTGTTACTGAGAACAAAAATGATAATTTCAAATATTCTTTGTACTTCTTACAACTTAGAGTCAAGTGTGAGTATATGCTTTCACATTGCTAATCATGTGTTCTGGGTGTTATTCCTGTCTTTCCAAACAAGAATAAAATCTCCTGAAAGCATTATCAGGTTCTATTATTTTTCTACTTTCCACCACAGTGTTTTATGCTTAACATTAATGGGATAGTAATTTGATGCTATGGCCATGAAATAATTATCCTCATTTCATTTCCAAACTATGCACAGCTGAGCATCCAATACACATCGAATTATAGTAATATTTTTTCCTTCCTTCAGTCATTAAGTGTGTGATTTAAGAAATGACATCACTCATTAGCCTGATCTCATCTCCCAGAAGTCATTTCATTTTGCATTTTAAGATAATATGTAAGTGTATAGATATACCTATGAATGCATAAATATATGTGGAGGTTAATTCTAGGTGTTAACATGATTAGATTAAGGAATGCCAAGAAACCCGGTAAAGGTATTTTTTAGATGTGTTCATGAGGGTTTTTCCAGCAGAGATTCATATGACAGCCTGAGTGGACTGGGTGGGAACGACCCAATATCAATGTGGGTGGGAATCATCCAGTCAGCTGGGGGTCCCAGAGAGAATGAAAGACAGAGAAAAAAGGCGAATCTCTCCCTCAATCTGTTGGAGCTGGGATACACCCTTCTCTCCTGTCTGTGGACTTCAGAGCTTGAGAATCTTCAGCTTTCAGGTTCCAGAACTTACACCAAGGACACCCTTGGCTTTCCTGGCTTTGAGGTCTTTGGAGTTGGACTGAGCCAAGTTACTGGCATCCAGTTTGCAGAGGGCCTATTGTGGGACTTTTCTCGTAATCACATGAGCTAATTCCCTTGGTAAGCCCACCTCATATATTATAACAGATCTTATGGATTCTGTCTCTCTGGAGAATGCTGACTAATACAGTATACATTCACAAAATATGTTTATTCTATACATGGACATACATATGGGATTAAATGTAGTTCTTTATAAAATTGGGCTTATACTACATAAATTCTCATATATTATATACAGGGACATACATATGGGATTAAATGTAGTTCTTTATAAAATTGGGCTTATACTACATAAATTC